TGGTCAGACTATTTCTCTTCCCAGTGGAAGATATTAAGTCATGTGGTGTCACAGACACGAGTGAGTGCCACTGGTGTCTACACGAGGGGTAGAAATTTGGTGGGGAAGGGTTATCATGGGTGTTTAGAATTGTGGTGTCAAGACTGGAAGGACATCCCACGGGGAGGCACCATTATAAGACAAGGCTTTGGAACGCCAATGGTAGCGTTCTCGGAATTAGGCTGGAGACAGACCTCCAAGGGAAAAGGAGATGGGACGTCAAAGTGAGGGCTTGTGGATTTAAAAAAAAAAAAAAAAAAAAAAGAGGACCAGGAGCTAAGTTGCCATAGGAGAGGTTCTCAAACTTCAGCGTGCACCAGAGTCATCAGGGGAACCCATGACAAATGTAGATTCCTGGTCCCCCCCTCCCGCCTCGGACTGTCCAGGCTGGGGCCGATGTGCATTTTTAAAGAGCTCCTCTGGCTGCGCTAGTGCCAAGGCATGACTAGGAGTTTAGCTCCCTTCGGCTCTGGCCTTTAGCTCCTCCACTCTTCGATGCACAAAATGGGCGTTTCTCAGTGTTAGCACAGCGATCTTCCCACCTGACAGCTACTGCAGCCCCTCCTGCTCCGGTCGCCGGGGACTCGAGTGGGCCCGACGTGGCGGGTCTCGGGCCCCGAGGCGCCGCCAGAGCTGTGAGACCGCACGAGGGAGGGCCCGGGGCGGTCATGCAGCCGACCGGCCCCATCCTCCAAGGGAGTCTCCGCTTGGGGACACCAGCCCAGCGAACCGGCCCGAGAAGACCCATAGTGCCCGTCTCTCTGACCCGGCGCCGCGGAGTCCTGCCCGCATAAACCTCTGGGCGGGTCTCCATGGTGACTGACGGACGCCGTGGCCAATTATGCCCCGGCGCTCGTTTGTTTCCCCCCAATCCCTCCCTCCGCGCCGATACTTCTGTGACTGACAGTTCGTCCCGTGCGATGTTACGTAAGGGGAGGGTCAAGTGCGGCCCCACCCGAAAGCAGATAATTTGATTGGTAGGACGAAGTGCGGTCGTCCCATCGCCCCCGGAAGAACGTCTTTGACGGGCAGGTGTAGAAGCCAATTGATGCCGGGAGGCTGAGCGGAAGCGTCCGGGATCAGGGGCGTGGGGCAGGGGGCGGAGCCTGACGCCGAGGGCAGGGCAAGGCGGGGCGGGGAGCGGTCAGGGGCCGGGCTGGCGCAGCGGTAGGAGATGCTGTCCGGCTGCAGCGGCGCTCGGCAGCCGGGAGCTCCGCGTTGAAGGCACTGGGCTGAGGCGCACTGCCCGGCAGGCTGGTAGGTACTTGAGGTCTGAGAAGTCTATAAATCCGGGCCGCCAGCCTCTTCGTGCTCGGCGTTTGTCTGCCCTGCCAGGCGCTTTCTCGACTTTGCGACGGCGGCCGCGCTGGGACATGGTCGGGCTGGGCCGGACACCTGTGCGCGTTTGCAGGCACCTGCTGCGCCGGCCTCCTCGGAGCCAGCAGTGGAGGCTGCGGCACTTGCTGGGCTGGGCCGGCCTGAGGCAGGGAGGCGGGCCGACTGGCTCGCCCCATCTGGGGCTCGTCCTCCCCGGCTCTGGTCCTCCGCTTCGGGCACAGGCTGAAGGGGGCGTCGCCGAGCCCCTGAGGCTCTCGGCCCCCCCACTGAGGGGGCTCGCGGGCCCCGGGCCAATCTGGAGCTACCTCCGAGGCCAAGACATGGCCCCCCTCCTTGCATCACCTCGAGACAGGTTTGTCCAGATGACTTGCGTGTTTGGAGACAGGTTTCCGCCCCGGGCGAGGGTGCCCGTCCGAGGCCAGCTGGTGGTCCTGGCTGTCCCCAGCGAGCTGGCCGGGGAGTGTTTTCATCTTTTCTCCAGGCCCTGCCCTGTCTGCTCTTAACGTGGAATTTCTTAAGACTGTTTTCGGGGTGATATATTAAGTAGAGGCACCGTGGCACATAGGAGGAACAGTGGCATCCACGTCTAGTTTTAGCTCTGCCGTGTGTGGATCCTTTGCACAGGCCAAAGATCAGACTTCTCAGCTGCCTCATATATAGAGGAATGCAATCATATGTTGTTCTCAGGGCCAAACCGGCAGAAATTCTGAAATTGTTTCCCAGTTACAAGGATGTAGCCTGTGCCTTCCTTCCATGTGTATCATTCTTATTGGAACATGTCATGCTGTGCCTGCTGTAGACTGGATGTAATAAATAGCGCAGTTAATTCCTGAAAAGTGTGCTATAATTCTCGTGATTATGTTGCTGCTGGAAACATTGGATTAAAAGATCCATCGCAAAGTGAGGCAGCAACAGATGATACCTCCTGCTTAAAAATAGGAAGAACTGGGGGCAAGTTCTTTTGGATTCTTAAAGGCGAAGACATAGGATCATAAGGTATTATAGACTTGAAAGGAGTTTACAGGTTTGCTCCACTCCAGTAAATTTCTGTGGTGGTGAGCACCACTGTGTCCCAAGGGGTTGGGGTCCCCTGTTATATCAGGGGACCTGTATATATAGAGGACAGTGAGGTGCTGCATATTGCTGCTAGATCTGAAAATCAATGTTTCCATTTGGGTCAAACAGGAATGTGCCCCCCCCAGTTTTTGATGTCCTAACTATTTTCGATGTGTCATAGTCATAGTCACCTTTAAAGGCAGATTTGTGCAGAGCTATTGCTACTTATTGGTTGTAAATCAGCAATGTTAGTGGAAGAACCGGATCCTCATTCCTGTGATTTAATTACTGGGTGGCATTATCTCTCAGAAAGCAAAACAGCAGTAATAGGCACTAGCAAGGTATGGAAGTCCTGGTACCCAACCATGGATGTCATAGGCTCCCGAGAGAAAACAAATTATTGCTGATTAGGGACATCTGGAACATGGTCTGCTAATGATTTGCTTCTTAAGAATTTAGTTAAATGTTACTAAGTTTTGACCTTTTTCACCTTCAACCTTTTGATTGGTTCAAGTAGGCATTCAGAGGAGCTCTGCTTTAAAGGTAACAGAGGCTGGGGGAACAGGGCAGAGAAGTTGCTGTTCTTACAGCTGAGCTTGGCTGGTTTTCCTTTGCTTGTTCGTATTTTTAGTAAATGACCCGCTGACTTTGTGACCTTTAAGACATGCTTTCTTAATCCACTGCTTGGAGCTCGGGGTGAAAGATCTGTGTTTGTGAAATGCCTCTTTTGCGCTCCTCTGTGGCATTTCTGTTGCTTGGCAGTTCCTTTAATGCCTAATTTCTGTAGAGTTTCTGTAATCTTAGCAGTTGAAAAAGGGAGTTTCTTGGGATGGTACTGACAGGACTCGCATAACCCCCTCATCCCTTTTCTTATGTACGTATGCTCTACCTTCTCTGTTTACTCTTATTTCTTTGGTTAATAGCTTTGCTGGTGGAACCATTTTGTGCCTAAATGAGTGGAGACAACTCTTGAATCAGCCACCATGGATCTTTATCATTTGTTCCCATGACCCTGGGAGCAGTGATACAACTTGTGTGTATGTGGGTACAGTGCATTCTGAATCTGGCTCTCCCATTAGTTAAATGCCTAGATATGCTAGTGGCAACTGTTGTCTGTATCTTCTGAATTTCTGGCACCAAAGCTGATCTATGTCATTGAATATTCTGAATCCTGGCAAGGGACCTGGTGCACAGATTCTTGTAGACTAGCTGAAGGTAGGAAAGAAACTGCGGCCAGAAGGGAGTATAGAAGGAAACTATTTCTGAAGATGCCTGAAGACATTTTCCTAGGTTTTTATAACTCTATGTCATAATATTATATTGTATCTCTAGGGTATCAGATTTAGTTCTTAACAACTTCAGAAGTCTTATAAAACTGTCGGTATGTTTCTGTGTTTTCCCATCTTGTTCACAGGTAAAGTGAATGCTGAGGACAGAAGAGTTTGATGACACAGACCGCTGAATTTCTTTGTTTGGAGTACAAGTTATGAACCCTTTCTGGAGCATGTCTACAAGCTCTGTACGCAAAGTAGGTATAGTCAATAAACTTAGTAAGGAAACCCATTTGTTTCTCTGTCAGAAAAGAGGGTCAGAATACAGGCCAAAATAATCCATACATGTACCTGTGATCTTACCAAAATTACCCGTTTTTCTAGTTTAGATTTTACTTTAGAGAAATATTTTGTTGGTTAAAGTCAGTTTCTGAGACTGAGATTGCATCTCAACTAGAAATCGTTCTGGTAATCACAATTCTTTACACATTTATACATGATGAAATTTGTGACATAGCATTACAGTAGTTTTTCTATTAAACTTCAAGATTCTATGGTTAG